TTGTCCCGGGTGCCGGCGATGGAGGACAAGGTGCTGGTTTTGGAGAGGGTGTCCGAAGCCACGCTCCTGGCCCACGTCGGCGTTTTGGGGGCTACGGCGTCTTCCCTGCCGAGAGAGGGTGGCGTCAGCACTGGGAACCCCCCTCTCCATTCCCACTGCCCCCACCCTGGCATTACCCCACAAAGCAACGGGACCTCCTGAGGTTACACACAGCTCTTGACCCCAAAAAGAGGAGGATAAGAGGGAAAAAGAGGGATAAATGCCCTTGTTAACTCTGAAACCGAATGATGGCTGGCCAGAGATGCAAGTTTTCTTCTTCCCTGTTAACTCCAAAACCTAGTGATGACTGACCAGAGGTAGAAACCTCCTCCCTGTTAACTCTGGAGCCTAACGATGACTGGCCAGAGTCCTCCTGTTAATTCTGAAAACCAGCAGTAACTGGCCAGAAGTGGAAACCCCCTCCTCCCTGTTAACTCTGAAACCTAATGATGAATAGTCACAGATGGAAACCTCCTTCCTCCTTGTCCTTGCCCCGTTAACTCTGAAACTTAGCGATGACGATTTGAACCTCCTCCACGGGAGGGGCTCCTCACTTGATCTCATTGGCTGCATCCTCCTGGCTGTCCCGTTTCTTCCTCCGGTAGCCCATGACCCGTCGGGCAAAGAAGAGGACGATGGCAAGGGCGCCCAGGGAGCCCAACACGGCGCCAGCAATGACGGCTTTGGTGCTTGCTGCCGGTGACAGACAGAGAGAGAGGCGGCGGGGAGAGAGGGAGTTCACCCCCTACTTCATCCCCACGGGGACCTTGCGGGGACCATGACCCCCCTGGCCCTGCGGACACGTACTCACTTGACTGCACCTCCAGGACGATGCTGCACTCGGCTGAACCCGCACGGTTTTCGGCCATGCAGACGTAGAGACCCGCCATGTCCAGGGAGAGGTTGGTCAACTTCAGGGTGCCCTTCACCTGGTCTGTGGGGGACAGATTGGGATGCTGTCCCTGCCGGGACCGTTCCCTGCCAAGACCTTCCCCCACCTGGACCTTCCCCTGCCTGGATCTTCCCCTACCCAGACCTTCTCCCGCCAGGACCTTCCCCCACCCAGGCCTTCCCCTGCCAGGACCTTCCCTATCCTGGACCTTCCCTATCCCGGACCTTCTCTCACCCAGACCTTCCCCTGCCAGGACCTTCCCCTGCCAGGACCTTCCCCCACCCAGACGTTTCCCTGCCAGGACCTTCCCTATCCTGGACCTTCCCTATCCCGGACCTTCTCCCACTCAGACCTTCTCCTGCCAGGACCTTCCCTATCCCGGACCTTCCCTATCCTGGACCTTCTCCCACCCAGACCTTCCCCTGCCAGGACCTTCCCTATCCCGGACCTTCCCTATCCTGGACCTTCTCCCACCCAGACCTTCCCCTGCCAGGACCTTCCCTATCCCGGACCTTCCCTATCCTGGACCTTCTCCCACCCAGACCTTCCCCTGCCAGGACCTTCCCCCACCAGGACCTTCCCTTGCCTGGACTTTCCCCCACCAGGACCTTCTCCTGCCAGCACCTTCTCTTGCCTGGACCTTCCCCCGCCTACACTATGGGAGTGGGCAGTGTTAAGGGGACTAAGCCAAAACCAAACCCAGATGAAGCCTCCACCGATTTTCCATCCTCCATCCAATTCTCCCAGTGCCCCCCAGTTCTCCCAGTGCCTCCCCCGCTGTCACCTTACCCTGGGTGGGCGGGAAGAAGACCTGGAGGGTGGGGGCTGTCCGTTGCCACTGGTAGGCGGGCGATGGCTTCCCCTTCTTGGAGGCGCAGCTCAGGGTGACGTTGGCCCCCACCACAGGGGTCCCGTGCAGGTGGCACTTGGGGGTGGCCGGTGGCACTGTGGGCACCTGCGTTAGACCCAGGGGCCATCATGGGTGGGGGGGGCCGCGGGGCTGGGGAGGCGGCGGGGCCTTACCCAGGACAGTGAGGTTGATGACGCCGACGTTCTTGCCCGTGCTGGAGGCATCGTCCACGACGTTGACGGTGCACATGTACTGCCCCGAGTCGCTCTCTCGGGTGGCGTTGATGACCACCGAGATGTTGTGGGTGACGATGGGGTACAGGAAGCCCACGCGGGGCTTCAGCTCCGTCTCCTCCACCTTCTCCTTCCCGTCAATGTAGGCCAGGATCTGCAGGGGTTGCAGGAGGAGAACCACGCCGCCCCCCAGATCCCAAATTTCGTGGTTGCTGCATGAGCTGCATGGTGGGCAAGTCCCCAGCATGGGCACCATGAGTTTCTCCCCACTGTGGGCACCACGAGTAACCCCCTGTTGTGGGCACCAGGAGCAACTGCCCCATCCTGAGATCTCCCCATCTTGGATACCTTCCCATGGTGGGCACCATGAGGTTCTCCCCATCATGGGCACTTCCCTATCATGAGCGCCTTCCCATGGTGGGCATCTCCCCATCATGGGCATCTCTCCATCATGGGCACCTCCCCAAGGTTCCTCCCATTGTGAGCATCTCCTCATCATGGACATCTCCCCATGGTGGGCACCATGAAGTTCTCCCCATAATGGGCATCTCCCCATCACGGGCACCTCCTCATCCTGGGCACCATGAAGTTCCCCCCATCATGGACTTCTCCCTATCATGGGCATCTCTCCACCATGAGCACCATGAGGTTGTCCCCATCATGGGCACCAACCCATCATGGGCATGTCCCCATCATGGACACCATGAGGTCCCCCCATCATAGGCACCTCCCCATCCTGGGCACCTCCTCATCCTGGGCACCACGAAGTCCCCCCCATCATGGACTTCTCCCTATCACGGGCATCTCTCTACCATGGGCACCAACCCATCATGGGCATCTCCCCATCATGAGGTTGTCCCCATGGTGGCCACCACAAGCACCCCGTCTCCACGCCCACCTCCTGACCCCCCCTGCTGGTCCCCACGCTCACCTGGAAGGGGTCGGCGTGGTCCTTGTCCAGCAGCCAGGTGATGAAGGGATTCTTCTGGGAGCGGCTGCTGTAAAACCTGCTCCCCCTCCACCACCAGCACCGAGCTTGTCCCCACGTGCACCTCCAGCACGGCCGTGGAGACCCCTGCCCATGGCACCGAGGGATGGGATGGGACTCAGCCCCCAGTGCACCCCCACCCCATGGGTGGAAATCTCCGCATTCCCAAGGGAACACCCAACAACCTCAGCTCTGCTCCAGACGTTTCTCCTCCTTCCCCTTCCGCTCGCTCCGCAGGACATGGGACAATGCCCTTCCCACCCACCCCCATTTCCCCCCCAAAACAGGAAACCCTCCAACCCCCACCCAGGGACCACCACCTCGCTCAAGCTCCTCCAGCAGCCGGACACCCCCTGAGCTCACCACTGGGGTACCCCTGCCCCTGTGATGCTGCACTGGATCCTCCATCCCATGAGACTGAATTTTTGGGGAGAGCGCACCTGTACACACCCCATCAGCCTCCCCCTTTTGCTACCAGTGCTAAACTGGGATTATCCAAGGGTGGCATCTGCTGAAGCCCCATTCCATCCCTAATATTCCAGATATCCCATTCCAAATAGCCCATCCAAAATATCCCAAATATCCCATCCCAAATATCCCATCTCAAATATCCCAAATATCTTATCCCAAATATCCCATCTCAAATATCCCATCCCATTCCATCCCAAATATTCCATCCCATCCCAAATATTCCATCCCAAATATCCCATCCTATCCCAAATATCTCAAACCATCCCAAATAACCCGTAACATCCCAAATATCCCATTCTAAATGTCTCATCCCATCCCAAATATCCAAACCCATCCCAAATATCTCATCCTAAATTTCCCATCTCAAATATCTCATCCCATCCCAAATCCCCCACCTCAAACTCCCCATCCTCAGCATCATGGGAGGAGGCCCAGGGATCCTAGCGGATGCGGATCATTCCCCAGCTTTGCCAGCACAGCTCAGCCACAAAATTAATCGGATTTCAGGCGGGTTTATGTGCTTTGGTTGGGTTTTTTTTTTCCCTGGGCGGGGGGGTCCCGCATGTGAGTGAGGCCCCTCACATCCCAGCGGCTCCATCCCTGCACCCCGGCAGCTCAATCCCCGCATCCCGGGGTCTCCATCCCCGCACCCCGGCGGCTCCATCCTCGCACCCCGGGGTCTCCATCCCCGCATCCTGGCTGCTCCAACCCCACATCCCAGCTCCATCCCCGCACCCCGGCAGCTCCATACTCGCACCCCGGCTCCATCTCCGCATCCTGGCTGCTCCAACCCCACATCCCGGCTCCATCCCTGCACCCCGGCGGCTCCATCCTCGCA